TAAAAGAAAGTAAATCAGAGCTGAGAAATACTTAAGTTTTCAGTAATGCCCTGCCAGAAGTGATGGAAGCCTGTAAAATCCTATCATTGATAAAGCTTTTCTCCGACATCCAGGCTCTTTGTTTCCCTGTATCTGGAAAAGGTGGCTTTAAAATGCAGCAAAAATTGTCTCCCCTTTTCCTCTGTATCTTAATTTCCTCACCCAGCAGGGTTCTGACTCCATAAGGAAAATGAAATTCCTTGTGCTGCTTACCCAGCCAGCAGCCACAGAGGATATCTGAAGGATACACAGACTTATCCAGCCATTGCTTTCTCTTTCAGGGACCAGTCATAGTGATTTATTTTCTTTCATGTGTCATTTTTATTTTGTTGCCTGAAACTCATTTTGGAGTTGGAATGTAAACGGAATAAAAGAAATATCTGCATCATCATTATTACAGACAGTTATTGCTGCTCGTGCAAAGTTGCTATAGTTTTCTGTTAGAAAATTTATCCATGGTTGTTATCATAACCTAAGCCATGATCCCACGTGTTTCCTTTCCCACAGGCACCAGTGATAATGGGCAAAGCTCTGCTGATTGGGTGCTCCTGTCCCTGGAGGCACTCTGGAAAATGCACCAGAACAGCTGTTTGCAGAACAGCCAAAGAACCAGACACAGGACCTGGGGATAAACAGAAATAATCCCTCTTTTTTAAGATTAAAGTTATCATGGAGCAGTGAAGGCCAGCACTGCTGTGGGAGAATGTCTGAGTCCATTGGGGTGAAATATGGACATTTTAGTGAGCACGATACTCATTAATTTTAACTCTCTCTAGTCATATTGATGGGAGTCTGTTACTGAACTGTGTTACATCATCCTGTATCACAGAGAAGACTAAGTAATTATGTGTTTTAACGAAGCATACATATAAAAATAATATATATGTATGTATGTAATGTACACATAATACTTTTTCATGGAAACTTGAAAAAGATTTTTCACTTCTTCGTTGGAGGAAATAGAGGGTTAGGTATGATCTATCATGAATTGCTGTAGGTGAATAAGATTGTGGTCCTCCTGTGGAGGAGCAGTGAAAGACTTGACAGCTAATTATTACAGACTTGTGCTGGATAGTGGCCAAGGTGTATACAGCTTGATTGGATTTTGAAGCAAAAACGATGTGGGTGAGCTGGCTTGATGTGTCAGGGCAGAACAGGCAAAGACACAGTCCTGGGGCACTGACAGTGAATTATGCTGCCAGTGCTTCTGTCTCCTTTGGGCTTTTCTCTCCTGTTCTAACCTCATGTTTTCACTTAATGGGTGTCAGTGAAAAGCAGAGTGCTGTGGGATGTCTGTGCTGTGACTCACTCTGAGTAACATTTTTATCAGTGACCTGGAGGAGGTGAGGAAGTGCAATCTCATCATAGTGGTGAATGACAACAAATTGTGGAGGGGTTTTACACGATTGAGGGTTCTCAAGATCTGAATGGATAAAGCCTTGAACAGACTGGTCTGGCCTCAGAGCTGGCCTTGAGCAGGAGCTTGGATTAGGGGTTTCCTCAGGTCCCTTCCATTTCAATCCTCCTGTAAGCCTGTGTCTCTAGATGCAGTGATCCTGCTTTTTTAAAAAGCCTGTTCTGTGCCACTACAAATTTCAGCTCTTTTCCTCTGGGTTTGTGCTCCTGTAAGACACTGTACTGCAGCAGTGTGGCCTGTGGTGCTGGAGTCAGGAGTAAGTTGTAAAGAAGGAGTACTGAAAGGCTTTGTTTGTCTGACATAGCATTCAGAAAGAGATGGTCCCCAGGAGAGGCTGAACCTAAAATATCCTTCCTGGGTCCTTGACAAGCAGGTTTCACACTGTAATCTGAAGCTGGTATGGTTAAAACTGCATTTTCTGTTTTGGTCAGTTGTGTTCCCACAGTCAGAAGCTTTTCTTAAAGAAGTTTCTACCTTCTGCCCTCTGGGGTCTGTAGCTGCATTGCTGATGCACGGAGTGTCCCCAAACACTGGAGCTGTCATGGTACAAGAATGTGAAGAGGTTTAGAGAAAATTATTGAAGCCTTGCTCTTGAGAGTTTCAAAAACAGGGTTGGAGAAGCAGCAGGATCACGATAGCAGGAGGAATGAGAACCAGCTTCAGCATACCAACAAGAAAAAAATGCATTTATGGTCCAGAGAAGGGCAATGGAGCTGGGGAAGGGTCTGGAAGTCCTATGAGGAGTGGCTGAGGGAGCTGGGGGGGCTCAGCCTGGAGAAAAGGAGGCTCAGGGGGGACCTTCTGGTTCTGAAGGAGCTCTGAAGTCCCTGACAGGAGGGGGGAGCCGGGGGGGGGTCAGACTCTGCTCCCAGGGAACAAGGGACAGGAGGAGAGGGAACGGCCTCCAGCTGTGCCAGGGGAGGCTCAGGTTGAACAGGAGGAGGAATTTCTCACTGGAAAGGGTGGTCAGGCCTTGGCAGGGGCTGCCCAGGGAGGTGGTGGAGTCCCCATCCCTGGAGGTGTCCCAGGAAGGCCTGGCCGTGGCACTCAGTGCTCTGGGCTGGGGACAAGGTGGTGTTTGGTGAAAGGTTGCACTTTATGATCTTGGAGGTCTTTTTCAGCTTTAATGATTCTGTGAGTTAATGTGAGAGTTGGGAACCCATTGAGCATGAACCTTGCAACTATTTTGTAATTCTGTTTTTCAGTTTGATAGCTTCTTTGGCTTCTTCTGCAGAGTTTTTCTAATTAAGATCCAGTCTCAGGCTGTTTTAACATCTCTTATAGTCTCTTGTACTATTAGTTATTCTTGATTTTTTTATGTTTTCTAGTACTAAAGGTTGTCTGGTGGTAGCTCTGGGTTAGAACAGCTGCAAGATCTCAGTTTCGTTCCAAAAAAATTAGTGTCCCCTGGACAGGGACACCTTCCACTAGACCAGGTTGCTCCAAGCTCCATCCAACCTGGCCTTGACTAAGTGGAGTTTTCCTTGTACATATGGAAATTTCAGCTGCACATTGAACTATCTGTGAAGTGCATCCTCATTTGGTGTTCATGCTCAGATGAAATGGGCCAAGAGGACTTTTGGTAGACACCCTCTCTATTTAGATTGTACTCAACTGTAACGAGCAATTACCTGATTTTTCTCGTTTGCAGCTTTATCTGTCACCTATGGATGATAGTGGTTGATTTTAAAATGTTACAAATTCACAAGCAATTAGGGCAAAGACATATCAACGAAAGCAATGTTTTCCTGTGATAGAAATGAGTCACGATTCAACCCAAAAACCACCAGAGAGGATGGAAAGTGTTGAGAGCATGATTTTTGGTTACTCTTCTCAAAACTATTATGAAATCTGATTTATTTCAAGTGCTGAGTGTGGCAGGACTGTCTGCAAGGGGAAGTATTGCAAGCAAAATGAGCTTCTAAAAATGCTGATTTTAGTTGCACACAGTAATTAGGAGAACAGCGAACTCTTGGGCAGATAACAAGTCCTGGCACATCCATCATTTCACACCTATTTGGTGAGTTGCTAATGAGATTGGAACACTACACAGGTCTGGTTGTGGCCTCTGCACCGAGTCAGACAAACACTTCAGAAATGTTTATACAGTGGCTATTTTGATTCTCTCTAATATCTGTTGATCCTTTAATAATGCAGCTTTATGTTTATTGTACTGGAGAGCAGACCTGCTTCTGTATGCAGGATCTCTTCTCTTGCTGTCTTTTCTGTCAGCAGGCCAACTTACCTGGTGCTACATCGACAACCACCTGCTACGGGCTATGGATCCGTTTTCTTAATTGCAATGAAATCATTTATGCCAAATAATGCCACGTTACAACAGCATAATTTAATTTGCAGCTGTTCATTATATTTCCATTATCCTTCAGCTTTGGCACCCTCCCAGAAAAGGACCCATGAGTACCAGGTGAGACAGTTTCCTAAAGTGATAAAATTGCACCCCACACAGTTCACTGCTGGCTCTTTTCTGTGGCAGAATTCTGGCATAACTACATTCCTTGGGTTTCACTTATGTCATGTTGAAAAATAATAATAGAGGGTTGGTTTTTTTCTTAAGTCTAGATTTTTTTTCAAGTCTAGATTACAATCTCTTGCTATTCTAACTCAATCATGCTGTACTATGAAAAAATAAGGGTTTGTAAGATGCATGACAAATGTTGCTTACAGTTGAACATTGGAAGTTTTAACTTCAAACCTGTACAGAATTGTGCACTACATTAATACATGCCAAGGCTAGAAGAAATTGAGGCTGCCTCACAATTATTCCCTAATGGCAACAGTAATGTAAGTTGAACTTGTGAGCATTGGCTTTTTGTAGCATTTTGCATTTAATGTATGTGGTTCAAGGCTCCATTATAATTTAGTATTATCAGGAAGAATATAGTTTATTAACCATTCCACTGTTTCTCTAGAAGTATATATAGTAAACTTTCTACAATTAATCAAAAGCAGACATTGTAAAAATGAAAATCAGATTTATTGCCAAGATCATAAATGTCAAGTGTACTGTTATGCAGGCTTTGTATTACTTCAGTTGCAACTTTAAAGAACGTTTTAAGTGATTGGAAAAAGGAAGTTTATTAAAGGCTCAGCAGGTCTTCTCTGCACTCTGCTGTTATTAATGTAAATCACTGCATCGTGTGATAGAGGAGCAATGTGGCAGGAGAAGATTTTGAACAGGTTTCCTCTGTTACTACCAATACCTTCAGGAAGAACTTGAAACACAGACCACTCTGTTTCCTCTGGCAAACAAATGCAAAGAGATATCAGAAGAGGGAAAGGGTAGTGCAAAGCAGCCAGGGTAGTTCATTGCTGAAGTTTTCTTTGAGTCACAGCTTAGCAGATTGTGATGTTTGTAAGAAAATTCAACACTCACAACATTTTTCAAGTGTCTATAATTGGCTTTATCTTCAGTCCGAGATATTTTGCTTCACACAAATATTATTTGTTTGCTTTTCTTAGGCAACATTAATACATCCCTAGAGCTGCTAACCTAGGGAAAAATCTACTAAGAAAGTGAAATAATTTTGGTGCATGGTCTAAACTTGAATTCTGGTTGGTAGGTTTGGTTACTTCTGGCATGATGGGGACTCAAACACAGGCACAGCAGGGAAGCCCCCTGGGCTGGGGCAGCTCTGGCCTCAGCCTCTCCTTGGCTCATGCTACATGTCTGTGAAATGCAGGTAAGGGCTGGCATCTGCTTTGCAAACTGTTTTGACACTAGATGGTTAAAAATGTCACTGAGGAAAAGGACATTGTTTTATTGTTAGTGTACATTTAGTGAAGTGACACAGAAAGGAGCAGAAAGAAGTAAACCACTTTTATCTTGTGACTTTTAAACAGGGAGGACTTGTGATAGATATAGGATAGATAAATACTGTAATAGCTCCTCTGTGGACGTTTTGAAATAATCCTTAAAGCTCTCTAAAACTCTGTGTGAGAGATGTCTGGAGGTTCTTCTTTTAGAGTTAAGTATGGGTTGATGAGTCCTTGAGGTTGGTTTAGTCCAACTGCTGCATGAAATACAAAGTAAGGTAAGAAAGTAAGCTGAGAAATACAGGTAAGGAAGAAAAAAAGAAATAGTAGATTAAAGGCAAAGCTATAATTTCATAGAGTCACAGAATATTCTGGCTTGGAAGGGACCTTGAAGACCATGCAGTTCCAACCCCCTGCCATGGGCAGGAACACCTCCCACCAACCCCAGCTGCTCCAAGCCCTGTCCAACCTGGCCTTGGACACTTCCAGGGATCCAGGGGCAGCCACAGCTTCTCTGGGCAACCTGGTGCCTCAGCACCCTCACAGGGAAGAATTTCTCTGTAATATCCAATTTAAACCTACTCTCTTTCACGTGTTTGATTCCTGCATTACTGTGTGTTTACATGATTTTAAGTGTCTTTCTGTTTGTAAAGCTCCTGATCACTTGCATTGAAGTATTAAACATAGTAATTTTCATTACCTGAGAAGCTTTATCCCTGAGAAGTGTTACCTAACACCGAGAAGTGTTTTCTCCCGGGCAGTGCAGGGAAAGCAAATTAAAGCTGGAGAGAGCAGGACACATGCAAACAACGCACAATTGAAGAGCAACCTCACCATTGATTCACCTGTTAGGAAAAGCTGCAAAAGGTCAGGGAAGTGAAATGGATATTTTACGGATATTTTGCCTGCTACAGAACAAATTCTGGCAAATGATACATGAAGAAGTTTATGACACTGCCACCAGAAGTCCTACAGTGCCAGTGGTGTCTGACTTTTGCTCCTCCTACTCACAGCTGCTCCAAGGCCTGGCCAAATGTGTGTCTGATGGAGCAAGTCTTGCCTCAACCAAGATGTTCACTCCTTTCTCAGGCACACACAGAGCACTGCTTACAAAGCAGCATCGTCAGAGACTTAAATTAAAGAAGTCCTGTGGAACATATCCAGTCCTCAGACACTACTTGGTTGATTTTGTAATTGGTGAATGCCCTTATCAGCATTTCATTTGCCTTAGAGTGATGCTTAATCAGCAGGGAGGGATTTGATTTCCACAATGTCAGCCCACACCCAACTAACTCACCTGTACAGGCACTTTTTTAATCTCTAAATGGAAAGATATTAAGAGGTTTGGTTTGGGTCTGAAAAAAATAGTATCTTCATAATTCTACCTTTTAAAGCTGATATTTGGAAGATTTAATTGCTACTCTGAAATGGACTCATAGAATCATATAAGGGTTTGGGTTGGAAGGACCTTAAAGGTCACGTAGTTCCAACCCCTCTGCCAAGGCCTTACCTTCAGCCCTTCCCTCTCCTATTTCTGTTCCTACAGAAATGCCCCTCAGTTAAATTCTCCTTGATACTTTTCTTGTGGTGAGAAGGTTTGAAATGGCTTACCGAATTCAAGTTGTGACAAAATGGGACAATTTGGGCTTTCAGTCCCTCAGGAAGTCTGCAACATTTCAGCTTCTCCTTTCATGCAAACTGACCACAGTTCTGTGTGTGGTTGGACAGTTGATGTCACACCTAACTCAAGCTGACTACCAGTTTTCTCCTGTCTTTTCCCTGTAGGCTGCTGACTACAGCCAAATTACCTACAAAACAAGGAGTCAGCCGAGATAAAGAATTGGAGAAAATGGCTCTGGTTGTCTGAGGTGCTCTGCAATATTTGTCATCTGTGGATAAGCAGCAATCAGCAAAACTCACAATAAGCGGTAAGTGCTCTAAATGTCATAATGAGCTCAGCCACTGAAATCTGAATGCCATTTATGATGCCCTTTGATAATAATTTGTGATTGCCACTCAAGAAGGCAATCATGTATCCAATGTAACTAAAAATTAGATGCATAACCCTGGCTTTCCATTACAGCCTGAGCTGCCGTGAAGTGTACTAAAATGGTCTTTGACTGCATTCGTGTTTCGATGTCTTACACCCATGTCACGTAACAGAAGTGACAGAATTTATCTGGGAAATAATAGAATTGATTTGGGAAAATATGTGTAGATTACAGGTATTCTTTGGAGAACTCTACAGATAGTGTTCTAGCTCATAAAATACATGTTATGACATTAAAGCATCTGGTCCCTTTCCTGCCTGCATTTGTATGTTTTGAAGATCCTGCTAATCCAACACTGTTATACCAAGTATCTCTTTTGGGGGGTTGTTTTGTTCTTTTTTTTCCCCCTTCCTTCTTTCTTTTTTGGTTATTTATTGCTGACTGCTGAAGTGTTTTGGCTTCATTTTCAGACTGTAACACCTTTTGTTTATCTTCTGCCTCTAGACAGAACAATTTTTTAATATTTTCTTGTCTGCAAAATTTCTTCAAAGGATGCAAAGCTATGAGACTCTCTTAGGCTGCTTTTTCTCCTTGTGTGTAAATACCAATTTAATCACAAATGTAATATAAAAACATGTTTTTTAGTGACAGACAGGTAAAAATATGGCACTGTTGTCAGAGTGGAATGTCTCCAAGTAGTGCTGTATCTCCTGTCTGGCTGCTTCTCTCTTTCCAACAGCTCTTTATCATCAGGTCAAGGAGTTTAACCTCTGTTAAAGTTCTTTTGGGTTTAGGACTTCCTGATGTTAGTTATCCAAGAAGAACACTTCCCAAGGTCTTGGAGAATGATTGGCCAGACGATTGTCAACTTTGCACTGTTTGGGAGTCTTCAATAGTACGTTTAGTAGTGCTTCAGTACCTACTTTTAGGTATTTGTTGCTATGTAAGATGTTACAGAATAAAGAGGTACTGAACAAGAAGCGGATCCCAAAGCAGGAGCAGAAAACTGCTGGCAAAGCTAAGCCAGCTCCATAGGAAACAGCTTGTAGTGAATGTGAGATTATCCCATAAATCTGTTGCCTCTCTGAGAGGTAAATATGGGCATCTGTCACTCCAGGGATCCAAGGCAAATTCCAGGGCAGAAATTGGGGTTTCTTTCTGTGTGACTGCATTTCACTGCTCTGTGTCAGTCCCTGGCAGGTCAGGTGCTGTACATGGCCTTTGGCACCCTGGTTCATCTGAAGGATACAAGGAAGGATCAGTAGATGGGTGAATCTCAGATGATGCTGAAATGCTCCCAAGGAGTGATAAAGCTGATTCTGAATTTCTGAGTTCCGTGGAGTTTATCTCCTGGAAGGAGGGCAGACAGGTGAGCATTTCCTCTGTTCATAGCAGTGCTGTGCTGTATTCAGCTGATCTGTGACCCATACCCTGATACATGTCAGAAAAATGTCCAAATAAGATTTGGAGAGCCTGGAAACAACATAAACTGGGCTCCAGAGGGGTGACATGGATAGTGTTTCCATCCTAACAAAGCAGACTGGTAGCTTACTCAAGCGATCTCAAAAAGCCTATTCCTACCTTTGAAGCAACACCTTTACTCACCATATTGGCCAGTTCCTCATTCTTAGCAGGACTGGTTTAGACTTTTTTATCACAGATTTTTGCATAAAAGGCAGTCACTGCACCACATATTCAGCAAAAAGAAATTCTGTGTGAAAATAAGACACCAATCTTCGAGAGAGGAAATTCTTCCCAGGCCACAGGGTTCCTGCATGGAATAAACCTTACTTTATACTTTCTGGATTTTGCAAACAGCCTTAGAAAAACACCTGTGTTCAGCAAGGATGTATAAAATGTGTATCAAACCAGGTAATTATAAGTCACATACATTAGAGCAGCTTTTCAGCATGTCTTTGCTGTGGTGGCTCTTACATGCGTTGTATGTGTTACCTAAACATTGAGACATGGCTCAACAAGCCAGGTAAATGAAGAAAATACAGCCTGAGTACTAAATATGGCCATTTTCCTATGAACTTTGTGGACTTTTCATCCAGCAAACCTCTGAAGAGACTGAATAAATTCTATTTGGTATTGAAAGAGAAGGATACTGCGGTAAGTGACCCTGAAATTGTGTTTGCCCAGAGATCTGAAAGATGCAAAATTCATGGGAAGATATACCAAGCATCTTTTATTAGACCAGATGATATATTATATCTGGAAAAAAACCATGAGGTTTGGGTCGTGCTGTCTCCTCATTAGATAAAACAGGGGCAAACTTCGAGCCAAATGCTGAGTGAGAGAAATTTGATAAGACAGAAGTAGCTAACTCTGGCAGTAGAAAGGAACTGTTAACAGGGGAAGAGGTGATGAGTTGTCTCTCTAATTAGTGTATATAGGAACAGGAATGTGTTATCAGGGGCTAAAGAACGAATTTTGTGATATTATAAGGCTCATACTACTGTTGAATCTGCGATTTATTTTTTCAATCCAGATGTAATTCCTAGGCCGTAGGAGGTGTTCTGTTGTCCTTCTGTGAAGGTAAGACTAGAGACAGAGTTCTCCAGCCAGTCTGTGGGAGTTTCTGTTTTTAGCCAATCTGCATTCCCTGTGGTCCTGCCTGGCTGTTTGTTTTCCAGGGAGATGAAGCAGGAAAGCCAGACAAGAAAATGTGCCGAGATGAAGACATTGGAAATCTACAGGTAGAAAACCAGGGCCTGCCTCCCTTTGAGCTGAAGCAGTAAGTGCCTGCAGAGCAATGCCTGCCAATGGTCAGATTTGTGCCTTAAAATCTGGGTCTTAGGAAAATAGTTTTGGTTGTCTGGGGTCAACTAAATAAGCCTTATGAGCTGTCTTCTTGTCTTAGTCAATGTTATTCAGATTTTCAAGTATTTCTTTTTCTTTATGGAAAAAAAAAAAAACCCTCAACCTTTGAAACAGTTTCCAAGAATGAAGAATCCAAGTAAGAGAGAATTAACCCCTGGCCCACTTGGTAGGGCACATCCCTGGGACATGAAATACTGAAGGAGTTAGAGCAGAAACTCAAATATTTGTCTTTCATATGCCATACAAATGCACATCTTATGTAAAATAGTTATTAACCTAATCTATTCCTTTAAAGAAAATGTGCTGTGCAGACTCAGGATTACAGGTAGCACTTGTCCCATGAGAAAACATCATTGAGGGAAGAAAAACTTTTCTTTTAATACCAACAATACATTTGCTTTTTTTTTCTTCAATGCTACCATGGTAGATAATAATACTCCAGGGTCTTTCCCACCATGGTGCACCCAGGAAGGGGATGGGTAGCACAGCAATAGAGTGTAAGCAGAAATCACAGAATTACAAAATGGTTTGGGTTGGAAGGGACTTTAGAACTCATCCCATTCCACCCCCTGCCATGGGCAGGAACACCTCCCACTAGCCCAGGTTGCTCCAAGCCCTGTCCAACCTGCCCTTGGACACTTCCAGGGATCCAGGGGCAGCCACAGCTTCTCTGGGCAACCTGTGCCAGGGCCTCCCCACCCTCTCAGGGAAGGATTCCTTCCCCATATCTCATCTATCCCTGCCCTCTGGCAGTGGGAAGCCATTCCCCATTGTCCTGTCCCTCCATCCCTTGTCCCCAGTCCCTCTCCAGCTCTCCTGGAGCCCCTTTAGCCCTGGAAGGGGCTCTCAGGTCTCTTTGGAGCCTTTCCTTCTCCAGGTGAAGCCCCCCAGCTCTCCCAGCCTGGCTCCAGAGCAGAGGGGCTCCAGCCCTGCAGTCAAATTAGTGGCTCTGTTGTGGTCCAGCCCCACAGTATCTGTTTTCACTTCGCTGCTTTGACATATCACTCAATTTGGAATTGATTACTCTGGGCTCAGGTTGGATCAGTCTGGCAACACTGACTGTAGGGCTGCTGCACAGCTGCTCTTATCAGCCCCAAGAAACACAACCTGGTAGAGTTTTTAGGTTGGTTTTCTTTGTACTCAAAATGCCTTCTTTCATCCTGATATGTAATACTTGGCTGTTAAGCAAAAATTACACGTTACAATGCACTGCCCAATATTCTCAGTGGTCTCAAGTTGCACTAGGGGAGGTTCAGGTTGGATATTAGGCAAAATTTCTTCACTGAAAGAGTGGTTAAGCATTGCAATGGGCTGCCCAGGGCAGTGGTGGAATCACCATCCATGGAAGTGTTCAGAAAAGGAGTAGATGGGACACTTGTGGTTTAGTGGGCACACTGGTGCTCAGCCAAAGGTTGGATTTGATAATGTTGGAGATCTATTCCATCCTTAATGATTCTATGATAAAAACCCCCATAGAGTTGCAGAACACTTCAGATGCCAAGTTCACATGGTTCTATAAACTTTTTTGATTTAACTGAATTAATGATTAACTTCCATAAATGTAGTGGAATTCCATATGCAGAATGGAAGGAGCTGCCATACTCTGCACGGACTACTATGGGCCAGTTCAACTTTGAGTGTGAATGTCATTCATTGAAAAACTTAAATTAAGATAGTTTGAATGTAGTAAGTCAGTGTTAAATATCTATCTTTGGTGATTTCAAAATACACATATTTTCAAGTGTAGTGCAGGAAAGCCTCTGCCTCCAGTGAAAAAGGCCAAATGTCCGACTCTAAGTCAAACAGGGAGCAGAGCTTTCAAAAGCTTTGCTGAGACTCACCTATTATACAAGGCCAGGGAGGCATTGTGTTCTTCAGAGTCAGATCATATCTTTTCATTTTTCCCAAGCTCTTAACCACAAGGTTCCAGAATTTTCAGCTAATTTTCAGTGAATTTAAATAGTTTATTTGGTGGCCTAAGAGAGGAAAGGTTTGAAAACATCTAAAAATTACCTTTAGAGAATGTAATATTTTTTTCTCCCAGAGTAATTTCTAGCCACTTTAATCTGCTGCAAATGTTTGTTGTTAAATGTTTCATAGTCACACAGAGAAAATTACCAAGTCGGGGAATTTGCAGTTTGAATCCCAGTATAGCATGGGATAATACCTTAAAAATTGATCTCTTTAGCCTATTTAGATAGAACTAGTAACAAAAAAAAACAAACAAAAAAACCAAATAAACAAATAAAACAATGGAAACCCTCCCCATACTTTAAAAAAAAAAATCAAAGCACAAGCAAAAACACAAACCCAAAAATCTTTCTTAATTTTTGTTAATGATTCCGTCATCAGCATTTAATTTTTCACTTTGGAATCCATACAAGAATTTTAATTGATTTGTCCCTACACTGAGTAGCTCTTTTTTACCTTTTTTTTCCCCTCTTAAGATTAATAAAGCAGTCATATGGAATTCTCTTTTATTTGTTTGATATAGTTGTCCTGGAGGCTGGAGTCATGACTTATCAAGTAATTAGTCCAAATTAACAGGTGACTAATACTGAGATACATTAGGAAGAGTTAACTGTGTTTTTTCACTGTTGGTCTCAAAATCCAGGCTTCTGTCTGGTGACACCCATGGAATTAGTGCTCTAAAAGTATCTGTATGTCACAGAAATCTCTAATTTTTTGCTTTCTTTTTCATTTTTCCTCTTCTTTTCAGTCTGGATTTAATATACAGGGAACACTGCAACGGTGTAATTGAAATAAAATTATTAAAATGTCACCGTGTGTCCTGTTTAGGGAAACTTATCCACTTGTAGCTGTCTTTCTAAAATGGTGAATTGTGGTTTGGTGCTGACTTTTAAGACACAGATTTATTTTTGTGTATCTTCATCATCCTAAAAATCCATGAAAATCATTGCAATCTTGACATTTTTGTGTAAGGTCCATCCGTATCCTATAAACTATTTATTAACGAAAGCATCTAAAGACTGGAATATATAAACTGGAGATTTTACTGGACTTTAAGATCTTTTGATTAAAAATACATATCAGGATAAAATATTAATAGATCTGTAGCTGTGTATGCCCTGGTGTTCAGATGGGCTGAGTGTCCAGAGAAGCTCTTGGATTCAGTTTGCACAGGGGATGCTCATCACATCCAAAACTTAAAGCCCAGCATTAAACAAATACACAAGAATAACAGCAAAGTCTTAATGCAAGAGTGGGAGAGTTTGCAGTAATATGTTGTGTATTTGCTGTAAATAATAAGCTAACCTTATTCCCTGGCTGTTTTCTCCGGATTCTCCCTCAAATAGTCTCCTTATTTTTTTTTTCCTCATTTAATTGATTTTGAGCATTTAATTGTTATTCTGGTGGGGAAGGAACACCTGACAGTGCTATTGAGTGTACTGACCTGGGTGGTCCCCCATGCTGAGAACTTCTGGTTGAGTTTCAGTTTTATTTTTGTTTTCCACGAGCCCAAATTATGGTAGGAAGATCAAAAACAGTGGAAAACAAAACCCCTGTGCTGGAAGACTTAAGATAAACCAGAAAAACTTGTGAACCTGCTGTAGTTATTTGGTAGTAATGAAGCTTGACAGAGGAGGAGAAGAGGATGAGGAGGGGAGAAAGATGAAGTAGTAGGGTGCGGGAGATATTTTGCGCCATGGGATATATTTCTGTGTCTATAACATGCATTTTTTACTAGTTTTCCTCCTCAACATGTTTGTATCTGTAGCCCATGTAGAATGAGTGATATTTTGAACTGGGAAGATGTGATTTTCTCTTGGTATGAACCTCAGGAGAGGTTTAGATTGGATATGAGGAAAAGGTTCTTCCCCCAGAGGGTGGTTGGCACTGACCAGGCTCCCCAGGGCAGTGGGCACAGCCCCAAGGCTGCCAGAGCTCCAGGAGGGCTTGGACAATGCTCTCAAAACAGGGTGGGATTGTTGGGGTGTCTGTGCAGGGCCAGGAGTTGGACTGGCTGGTCCCTGTGGGTCCCTTCCAATCAGGACATTCTATGTTCTATGATTCTATGGCAGCCAACAACACAAAGTAACTAACTCCCCCCTAAGACATTTCACTGGAATCACACATTGATATCATTGATATCATAGATGATCACATTGCCTGCAGGGACTGTGAATCCTCCTTCATTCATTATTTCAGTCCTTCTATTCCTGGCTTGTGTATTCCTGGCTGTACTGGTTCAGCACAGCCTGTTTCACACATTTTAGCTTTATGTGTAACAGAGCAGTATATGTACAAGGTATTAAAGCCAAGTTTACATCCAGTTCTCCACACCCTCTGGCCACCATCCTTGCGCTCTCTCTCTCTCTCTCTCTCTCTCTCTCTCTCTCTCTCTTTTTTCTCTCTCTTTCTCTCTCCACAACCAACCTACGGGGTTTTTTTAATAATTTCTTTTCTTCTTCTTCTTCTCTCTCCCAACAGTTCCTGGCAGAAGGTCCTGATGTGAAGCAAAAGTGAGAAATGCCCAGAGCTGTCAGGATGTGAAAGCTTGCAGATAACTGTGCACCTATTCATTCCTGGGATTCCTGACTCGACTCTAAAGGCTGTGGGAAATAATAGGGGTTAAGAGGCCTATTTCTGATAAAGTTCCCTGGCCAAACAACTGAGCCTCTTCCTTCCCTCTTTCTTAGTGTGCAGCCACCTGCTCAGTGGTTACATACATCCTGCCCACCAAGGACAAAGGGATAAGTTGCCTCTGGTTAAAGTACTGGGATGGGATGAAGATGTGTTGGATTCAGTTCTTCCTCCACACACTACAAAAATGCCATAGTTGATATCAAGTGAGTTTGCAGTTGGTAAATGTTACTGTAGTTATAAACAAACAGACATAAATATAATTTTCCCAGTTCTGGGCACTGTGATAGAGTTAATTCCAGCCTCCAACAATGTTGTTTTATTCCACTACCTAGAGGGAGCCTATAAGAAAAATGGAGAGAGACTATTTACAAGGGCCTGGAGTGACAGGACAAGGGGGAATGGCTTCCCACTGACAGAGGGTACGGTTAGATGGGATATTGGGAAGGAATTCCTCTCTGTGATGGTGGGGAGGCCCTGGCCCAGGTTGCCCAGAGAAGCTGTGGCTGCCCCTGGATCCCTGGAAGTGTCCAAGGCCAGGTTGGACGGGGCTTGGAGCAACCTGGGCTAGTGGAAGGTGTCCCTGTCCATGGCAGGGGGTTGGAATAAGATGAGCCATAAGGTCTCTTTCAACCCAAACCATTCCATGATTCCATGATAATCTGTGATTCTGAGTTGCAAGAGCCAGGGTTCTTTGGGATATGCAGAATTCTGAATTTGGTTACAAATTTGTTCCCTTCAAACACAAAGCATTCTGTAATTCTATAATTCTGTGATTTATCTTGATCAGAGACTGCTATGAGTTAGCAGAGGTGATGTCATAATTCACGTGGAAATAGCCCAGCAGCTGCTTTCTAAGGTGAATGTGGATGGAAGAACTTGGAAGTCAAAGAGAAAAAGGAGTTAAAAGGTGGTAAACTGTAAATAAGACCAAATTTCATTCAATAAAGAAGTATTCCTTTGTATCCTCAACAAGTTAGAAAAGCTTCCAAAAGATTAATAAGAACAGATAATCCTTCCTTATATATTAAATATCTACTGTATTTTAGCTTTGGATACTAGAGAGTACTTGTTTTATTGGGGGTGGGGGGTGGTCTATCTTTTTAAATTTTTTTGGTGGTAGTCTAATCTTACAGAAAATCTTACTTCAGAAGCAGGTGAAGCCATTAAATGTATAAAGGGAGGTGTAAATAATTCCACAGCCTGAGGATTGGGCAGTCCTGAAGTGTGGAACAAACAGCCCAGAAAATGCTGACCACTTTCTCCCTTTTCCCTTTGGTTTGTGTAGAAAACAAAGTTAGAATTCTGCTTAGTTGTTGGTAATGGAGGCAAATTCATTTGCTTTTTCTCCTGAGTATCACATTGGCTGTGCTACATATGTTCACGATACATACTGTAGTTGTCCTTTAAAAAAAAAGACAAAAATAGAACTATTTGATTTCTGTTTGACCTTGAGCATGGAGGTCTGTTTGTAACAGGACTGGCTTACTGATCTCATTCTCCAGCGCCATTAAGCAAAAGTAAGTCCAGATAATGAGTAGTGTCGTGGGTGGGAGTGGAAGGCTTAGACAAAATGTATTAAAGAAGCCCTGCTGTTGAGTCACAAGGTGCAGAAAGGATCCAATCTTTGCCTCAGATTTTGTCAACGGTTTAAATTTAAGGAATTACAGAGGTGTGATTGAACCACTTTTGTCCCACAAGTTTCAATGGTGGCAAACTGAGAATATTTATATAAAACGAATCACTTACAATTACAAACAGTCAGATGAGTGAACAGACAAAAGATCTTAATCAGAATTATTTGCTACACAATATAAACACTAAACCAACTAGTAGTGCAGTATAAGATAGGTTAGTGCACTATATTGAAGCAATTATATTAAAGTTGGCAAAAAGAAATGATTATATAGTAGAGATTTGATGTAACTCACCCAGACCAACACACCTGGGGAGATCTCTTTCTCCCACCCTAGAGAAGTGACCCTGGGTGTCCCCAGCCAAGGGAGGATTCTTCACTCACACACCCCAGGAAGGGTTATGTCAGAAGAACCTGCCTGTATGAAAGGGGACTGGACTTTTATAGTACAAAGTGATTGACTGCTAGTCACAAATTTCCAGGTCAGCTACCAGCTTATCTGTCACATCCAGCTTCAAAAAGCAGGATGTGTGTTTGAAGTTTGGTGAACCAGGCTGGATTTAGCATAATTCAGCACCAAAAAACATTACCACAGAGAGCCTTCACAATTCCTTGCATTGTGTGGGGTAAGCCCTCCTGCCAGAAGTAGCCACAAAAATAATGCCTAGACAAGGAAAACTGATTGTCCTTAATCCAATCCAAATTTGGCTGCGGTGCTTTGCAGTCACAGTAAGAGCTCTGCTGACATAGTCTGGGTAAGCAGCTATCTATGGCCATCACTTATCTGTCCAGCACAAATAGTACATTCCTCTGAGAAGCAATGAGATGAAACCTTCAGCTCAAAAGGCAGACTAAGATTAGGGAGAACCTACAAAGCAATGCAAAAATAGCCTCAGTAAGGAAGGCTGAAAGAATTTAACACAGACAATAGCCTTGTAAGAGGATTTCCAAGATTGAGATAAATAGTGGCAGGAGGTGACGTTGTGCACAATCCTACACAGTCTGGGTGCTTGTTTTTTTGTCTACATCCAGAAGTACATCATGAGTTTCAGAAGGGCAGACTCCAGAGCTAAATAATGGAGACCCTTTTTTAATAATGCCATTATGGCTGCCCCATCCCTGGAAATGTTGTTTGGAGCAAGCTGGGATAGTGGAAAGTGTCCCTGCCCATGGTAGGGGGTTGGAATGAGGTGGTCTAGAAGGTCTCTTTCAGCCCAAACCATTCCATGAATCTATGATAATCTGTGATTCTGATTTGCAAGGGCCAGGGTTTAGTGTCTGTCCTTTTGGATATGCAGAATTCTGAATCTGGTTACAGTGGCATCCTGAAGGACCTCTCTCCCATTAAAAACTTGGGTTTTCCTCTGTATTTGTTTTTGTAAATTTTTTAAATACTCCAAGTTAACTGAATGCTAATGAACCACAAAAACCTTCCCCAATGGAAAGTTTGCTAACTAATTATATGTAATTAAGAGACATTTTTTTTCCTTTGCC